CGGTAGCCCCCAGGCAAGTGGAATGAAGCAAACCTGTGAAGGCGGCTGCCCTGGTGACATCTGTTGCTGTAAACCACCGACGCAGGAGGTAACTTCTTTTTCTCAATGGTTTAAATCCCCAGTAAACCTTGGCACGTCATTGACAGTTGTCTTGGAGTCCTCCCGTGTCTCAAAACTGTCACTCGGAAGGGTGCACGGCTGCTGTAGAGCTGCAGACACCGCCCCGCGTTAAGCCCCGGGTGAGGGATGTCATTTCCAGTTCCATCCCTTGGCCGACAGCGGTTTTCATAGAATCATAGAATCGCTTTGGTTGGAAAAGACCTTTAAGATCATCAAGTCCAACCCTTAACCTAACCCTGCCATCCCACCACTAAACCATGTCCCTAAGCACCTCATCTATCCTTCTTTTAAATACCTCCAAGGATGGGGACTCTACCACCTCCCTGGGCAGCCCATTCCAGAGCCTGACAACCCTTTCAGTGAAGAAGTTTTTCCTAATATCTAACCTAAACCTGCCCTGGCGCAGCTTCAAACCATTTTCCTAGGAGGAAGGTGAGGAATGCCATGGCGTAGCCGGGATTAGCTACCGCCGCCTGGTGAAGGTCAAGGCAGAGGTGGAGCTCTCGACCAGCCAGCTCCTGGTCCTGCTTGAGGACGGCTCAGACCAAAACTGCCGGTGCTGCCGCCCGCAAGGCGTGCTGCCCGAGTGAATGAGGAGCGAGGATGTTTGCTGCGCACTTTTCTTATGGTCAACCTTGGGCACAACACTGCGCTTTCCAATTCAAAGCACTTTCTGTGAATTTATAATATGTATAATATAGTGACCTTCCTTCTGGTGGATTTATAAACTTTTAGTAAAACTTTTACTGGCGGCAGAGAAACGTAAAACTTACTGAGGTTAACGCTTAAGGGTATGGGATAAGGATCCAGTCTTACATCCCCTACGTGCAAGCTCGCAGGCCACCCCTCCTATGGCCGGAACACCTCTGAAGAAAGCAAACGGAGTTTGACAGAGTCATGACGATTAAATGGGATTAGTCGTCTCAGAAAGGAAGTCGCTTAATTTGCATTACGGTATTGCTTGTTTAAAACGTACAGATGAACATGCTTTTGGTGTGCTTTCAGAGTCAGACTTCATTTAAAATTTAGAGAAAAATACATATTCCTCTTGCTGAGTCAATGCCCTTCGAAGGCGGATGCGCGCATTGTTTTGGGATGATGGCACATCAGTGATTTTCTTTTTTTTTTTTTTCCCCTCACCTTGTTTTTTTTTGTACGAACATTAATTTGGAGGCTTTTTCTTGCCTCCAAATAATGTATAATTTTTCTTGGAGAGTAAAGGATAGGAACCTCTCTGTACTCAGAATTGTTAGCTCCTGTAGCTACGTAACACCGTATACGCTGTGCATCTGACACATCCTTTTAAGGCAAACTTTGTAGAGATTCCCGTCCCCTATGGAACCGTACAGGAAAGGCCTTCAGTAGAAACGGGCTTGAGGCCAGGACACGTAGGGCAATTTGAAACAGATTTTTTCTAAGTGAGATCATGTGAAAATCCTTCTTTTCTTTCTTTTTTTTTTTTCTTCTTTAAGAGGGACTCTTTTGCTTAAAAATGCTTTTTGTAAGTATCTGATTCTAAACAACTGTTAACTTGTATGGCTATACTCAGCAGCAAATGCTCTCTTTTGAGTAAATATTTTGGGGTTTCCAGTAATGCCTGGGTAACTTGTGTTGTTGTTTCTATTTAGTGGGATTGAATTACAGTGGTTTTCTCAAAACTAGCTTTGACTTTCTTCAGGTGGGTGGTTCTAGGGGGGTTTTTTCTTTAAAAAAAACCAAACCCCTCAAGAAACTCCCCCCC